CTCATCCCATTCCAGCCCCTGCCACGGGCAGAGTTAGCCCAGCTCACCCTGGACACATCCCTGCCAGCCCTGGGAGGATGGGATGGATGAAGGCACTGCCAGCCCTGGGAGGATGGGATGGATGAAGGCACTGCACCCCTGGGGAGGATGGGATGGATGAAGGCACTGCACCCCTGGGAGGTTTGGGGTGAGCAGGGGCTGTACCTGGCCGTGGGGGGTGCAGTACGTCTCGGGCTTGCTGAGGCCGCAGGTGGAGGAGGCTCTCAGGTGAGGGGCTCGTCCCAGCAGCAGGTCCCCCGGGGGAGGGTAGCAGGCTCCCTGGGAACAGGCTCCCTGCGCTCCCAGGAGCTGTGGGGCAGCTGGAACAGAGGGAAAAGGGATCAGGGCTGTGTCAGGGAGGCACAGACACCACCCAGCCCCATGGAACAGGTTTGCTGCACCAAACCAACCAGCCTGGGACAGGCTCCCCAGTGCATATCCCAACAAAGAGAAGGGGGTTCACCCCTGAGGTACCTTTATCTTTTAATAATAAATGTGCTTAGTGCTTTGTACTAACAGTTACTTCCAAAGCACTTCCGTGCCCTGGCCCCAGGGTTTGGGCTGCAGGGATGCTCTGTGCCTTGCCCATCGAACTGACCAGCCCTGGTGGTGTCCCCTGTTCCAAGAGCCACCCCAGGTTGGTGTCCCCTATTTCCAGAGCCAGCCCAGGTGGTGTCCCCTGGTTCCAGAGCCAGCCCAGTTTGGTGTCCCCTATTCCCAGAGCCAGCCCTGGTGGTGTCCCCTGGTTCCAGAGCCACCCCAGGTTGGTGTCCCCTGGTCCCAGAGCCACCCCAGGTTGGTGTCCCCTGGTCCCAGAGCCACCCCAGGTTGGTGTCCCCTGGTCCCAGAGCCAGCCCTGCAGCTCAGGACAGAGAGCAGCAGCCTCCTGCCAACCTCCAGCACTAGAATGAGCCCCAGGCTCTCTCCTGCTGCTGCTGCTGCTGACACAAAGCTCCCATCAGCAGCGTTGCTATTTAGCCAGCTGGACCCCCCATTTCTGGGAGCAGTGAGTGTGAGCCTTACCCAGCAGGACACACAGTGCCCATGGCCACAGCTGGCAGCGAGGCTCCATTCGGCCACGGACACACCTGGGGAAGAGTTTGCAGCGAGACTGAAAAGAGCAGAAAATGTCAGTTCAAAAGCTCAGCCCAGCTCCTCCTTCCTTCTCACTTTACACTGAGATACTTTTAATTAATCTGCACAGAATAACACGGGGGAGGAAATCAAGAATAATGAGGAGGAAAACCGGGTGCTGAAGCTGAATTTGCTGTAAAGCAGCGAGCCCCCGCCCCACGATGGCCGGTGCCAGGTGGGAATGTGGGGCTGGAGGGGATGGGGAGCGCACAGCATCCCCCACAGCCCCTGTCCCCTTCCCAGGCACTCTCTGTGCCCCAGCCCCACCCTCGCCCTGCGCCTCCAGAGTCAGCCCAAGCCCAAAGTTGCATTCCAGGAAAAGGAGAAATCCATAAAATCCTGCAGCGAGTGTGACCCGCAGGGAAAGGAGCCCCGTGGGCCGGCCCGGGGGAGGAGATGCTGCAGCACAGCCCGCAGCGCTGGGGCCTCACCTGGCCTCACCTGCGGGAGCACAGTGTCCCCGAGGTGTCCCCGCGGTGTCCCCGAGGTGTCCCCGAGGTGTCCCCGAGGTGTCCCCGAGGTGTCCCCGAGGTGTCCCGGAGGTGTCCCGGAGGTGTCCCCGAGGTGGCCCCGAGGTGGCCCCGAGGTGGCCCCGAGGTGTCCCGGAGGTGGCCCCGAGGTGGCCCCGAGGTGGCCCCGAGGTGGCCCCGAGGTGGCCCCGTGTGGCCATCGCGGCCTGGGGGTCCCTCCCGCCCCCCTCCCCTTTTTTTCCCTTCTCGGTCCGGTCGCTTTTATTGCACAATGCGCTGTGGGATCGCTGCTCCCCCGGGGATCTTCCTCCTCCTCCTCCTCCTCCTCCTCCTCCTCCTCTTCTCCATCCACCGTCCAAACCGATTTCAACGCTTGGCCTTTGTCACTTCTGGCTTCCCGCCCCGCCCCGAGCCGACAACAAAAACAGAAAAATCGTGGGAAAAAAATTGAGGGAAAAAAAATCGGGATAAAAAAACGAAAATTAGGAAAGAAAACACCAAAAAAAAAAAAAAAAAAAAAAGGGGGAAAAAAAA